AAAACATGAAAAAAATAATATGATGAAGAGACTAAATACTACATTAATACTAACCTTATGTACTGGAGACATGTATAAGTAGGGTTAAAACCTATTAGTAATAAGCTTATTGTTTTAAAATAACAACAAATCAAATGGATATACATGTTCTTTATCTAAGTAATCATCAAGAAACAGCTGATCAATATTAGCTCTCGTTGTTACAATGTTACCAGAAGTTAATATAGGATCATCCCTGAAAAAAATAGTCAGAATCAAGAAAATGAATGTAAAGAAATACAAAGTATAGGTAAAGCACATTAAAAGTGTAGTCAAAGCACAACTAAAGGGAAATAAAAATGCAACAAAAGATAAAAAAATGCAGTGAAAGCGCATCAAAGGCAAATCCAAAGTGCAACTAAAGCATTGTGAAAGTGCATCAAAGGCGCAGCAAAAGCACAATGAAAGTGCAGAAATGACACAGTAAAATCGTATACATCCTTAAACTTTATTTAATTGATTTATTTAAATTAACTTAAACTTACTTGTAACAGCACTTTTTGAAGCATTCATCCATAAATATTTGCTGGTCTTTATTAAGGAATGTCTTGCCTTTAAATTACATTTTAGTGGAGGCAAGATAAGGGTTGACTTTAACTTATTCAACACAAATTATTTTGCCAGTAGAATGGGCTTGTTGTGATATTTTGGTGGAAGCTTTATTAATGAATTTTTTCTTTTTGTATTTTGGCCAAGTGGGGGGCCTTGCTCTAATGTTGAGAGGGGGGGGTACTTGTGGGTTTATTTTCAGATGGTGGGAATTAAGTGGTAGGTAGGTGTATTAGAGATGTAGTTATAGTGGGGGTATTATTTTAGATGTGGGGACTTGGGTGGCAGTTGGGACTGCTGGATGTGCAATTGTGGTTGAAAGTATAATTTTAGATGGGGGGACTTGGGTGGTAGCTGGGATTATTGGATGTACATTAGTGGGGGGTTTGGGGAGTTTAGGTACAGTTATGTGGGTTTTGGGGATAGATCTGGTGGGGGGTTTCTATGAAAATTTAATGGATGAGGATGAAGAAGATGGAGGAGTATTTTTATGATCTAATTTATATTGGGCATTATAGTGAATGAACTTATACTGAATAGAATTGACCTTTGCTTCAAATTGATCAGAATTTTCTTCAAGTTGATCAAGCTTGGTGCCCAAATTTTCTTAAATTATATTGCAAACTTTTTCCTATTGCATTAAGCAATTTCTTTTCAACACTAGCCCAAATCTTATTAGCCCAAATCTCAATTTGAGCTACTGGGGGCCTTGATGGGTAGAATGTGGGTGGGCTTGAGGGGTAGGAGTGGAAAATTTCTTTGGTGTTGGTGAGTGGATTTGGTGAGGCGATTGATGAGGACATTGATGAGGAGATTGAATATTGAAGTTATCAATAACTTTTAAGTTAGCATCAACATTTTCTGCTTTCTCCTGAGTAACATTCTACATGACATGAAAACTCTACATAGATTTTACATTAATATTTGTAGATTAGAAGATAGGAGGCACTTTAGTCACAGTAAAGATGCATCAAGAGCAACGTGAAAGCACAGGGAAGATGTACTGAAAGCGCAAAAAAAAAAGCGCAGCAATAGCATAGTAAGAGTGTTGTAAAAGACCGCTATAGAGAACACTACGCTTTCACTGTTCCTTTACTTTGCTTTAACTACATAATAGATTATAATTAGTTCATTTTTAATTTACATGATATTACAAATATCAATACACACCTGCCTTTCCTTTAAGTTAGCAAATAAATTCTTGGCCTTATGTGTATAATAGAAAATATTTGTATTTCCCTCCAATATGAGAAAGCATGATCTTAAATCTGGGTACATTTGTGTATTTATAGCGAAGTGCTCCAGGAACCATATCTACATTAGATAATGTCTGGTAATATTAGATTATTAATTATAATACGATTCTATAATTAAAATTAGTCTTGAATGAACTTAGGACTCACTAATATAAGAGGTAAAAAATCATTTATGTAACCAAGTAAATTCTACATAGTAATCTTTGTGGCAATTTTATTAAATTCATGAATAAAATATTCTTAAATACTCTCGGCCGAATTAATAGATGAAAATTCTTCTATATTACTAGATATAAAAATGAGCCTTCTTAGGGTTTTATGGTTGTTGAGGGGAAAAATAAATTAGAGACAAGAAACATTATAAAAGTTTTTAATATACCTGCTTGATTAGTTGATATGTTTAGTTCTGTTATCTCAGTTTTAATTTCAGTTGATAAAACTCCAGTAAGTGGCTCGTTCTTCTATATGATCTCAGCACCTATGTTTAGCAAACTTGTGAGCAGTATTTGGTTAAATAGATTGAAGAAAAAATAAGGAGACATTGAAAAAAAATTATTTTTAAATTCAAACCTATCAGTAGGGCTATCTCATCAACAATGAATTTAACCAAATGACATTTGATGATGAAGCCTAGTTTAGAGATATCCCAACATTTCAGTAGCTCATATAACAAAGGTATATTTTGCTGGAAAGGTGGAAACATTAAGAACTGATGGATGTTAAGATTCCTCAAAGTGTCCTCAATATTCTTATGAATTATTTCGTGAAATGTGTCACAGATTTTTCTAAAGGTTGAAACATAGTAACAAGAATTAACTGGACGTGAATAAGGAGCCATCTGCCAAAAAATAAAAACAAATTAGTGAATATGAAGACAAATGAAAGAAAAGGATGAGCTACAGAAGTGCAGTGAAAGTGCAATAAAAGTATACTAAAGCGCAATAAAGGCACAATCAAAGTGCATTGAAAGAGCAGCTAAAGCACAATTCTTTGCTTTAATTCCTCAGTAAGAGCACAGAGAAGCGTTGTTAAAGCCCAGTTAAAGCGAAGCTCTTTGCTTAACTTTAAATGCACAGTAAGACAAAATGATCTATTTACATCACCGATATAGAAAATTATACCATTAAACCCTAAATACAGTGAATCCACACATAAAATGCTAAAAAATAATGAAATAAAATAAAAAAAATGTAGTAATACACAGTAAAAGTACAACAAAGACACATCATTTTGTACCTGTTTGTAGAATCAAAGTAAAGGAACTTTTGCTACCCCCGATTGGTCCTGAAGAATAAAAATGCCGAAGATTTGGAGAAACAACTTCCTAAGAACCTAACGAGAAGAGAGAGTGAAAAGTGTAAAAATGGATGAAAAGTAAAAAAGCCCCATTTTGCATTTTTTGAACCTCTTGCATTCAAATTTTTAGGGGCCGATCGGGTTGACAAGACATAAAGAAAAAGTAATATAAAAAAAAAATCCACGTAGCATATCCACGTGTCCAGTTGTAATTGGAGTCTGGGCGTAGCGCTACGTTCAATCTCCGCACCAAATTATTTCTCGGGAATGGGAGGCCAAGTGGAAAAGTTAATTATTCTCACATCACTGAATGAAAAAAGCCAAGTAAATTAAAGTTTATGTATGAACATTTTTTTTTACAAAACTAATAAAACAGATTATTACATTTTTAATTTTACAATACCTAATTTTTGATATTCTTCTTCTGTTGTACACAAATCCTATCCTTCCATATATAAGGAGATTTTCCTAAAAAAATATCAACTAAAGGATGAGGTAAGCAGCCAGTTGGCTACTTATATTGTTAAATCATAGTCAGCCAAAGATTAGAAAATAGGGTTTTCGCTAGTATTTATAAATAACTTATTATTATTATTTTTAAATAAACATTAAGAAAATGCAATTATAACAATGGAAAAATAATGTCTTGTTGGATTTTTTTTTATTCATTTTCATCTTTTAATTTATCTTATGTTATAATACACCCATCACAAGAGACATTCCATAAATGTGTATCATTAAAAATACACTATCTCATATTAATCAGAATATTTCTCATTTCATATAAGAAAGCATAAAAAATCAATGCATTTGATTTAGAGGATCAAAAATAATTATTTTAAAGTAATAACATACCACTTTTACGAACAATTATTACATCCTCCGACCGAATGTAGAGGAGCGTTTGGTTTTAGGCAAAAAATGCGCCTATACCGAGGTGTACCGAGTTTTTTCACGCTCCTCTACATCCTTACACCGAACGAAATAAAAATTCCACTTTTACAGATCGTCTTGATTTTTGCTTAATCTTTGAATGTTGCTTTCCTGTTCAAGATACCTACCTATATAACATAAGAATTTTGCGTGTCTTCTTAATTGTTTCACTTCCCCATGCTCTCTTTATGTTAATCTTGTTCTTTATTGATTAATTATTGTTCTCTTATTCAATAATTTTTATATTTACAAAATAAAAATCTTTATTAATATTTGCAGCAGTCTTTATATATTTATTTAAATGTTATAGATTTTATGTCATTTCAATTCATAACTTAAAACTTCTCAATCATTAAGAATAAAATTAAATTTGATAATTTAAAATTATTTTCTAAGTGTACTTGTACAAATTAATTAAAATTTTCTAGTTCACAAATAAATAATATAAATATATTTTTCTTTCTCTTCTCATCTTTTTTTTCTTGTTCTTCTTTGTATGGAAACCCTTGATCATTTATGATAAGTGTAAGATATCTATATATAATAATTTAATTATAATTAATATTATTAATCAGATAAAGTTTTAGTTCTTCTACATATATGCTGAAGGAAGTTTGCGTGTATTATTGAAAAAAATTTGAATTTTTGAAGCACAAGAGCATCTTAATCATTTCAAGCATTGGTTGGTGACTCCTTAATGGACGCCGAGATGAAAACAATTCTGGGCCGAACTTATTAATCTGTTTTGGCCGATTGAACAGCTAATACTACTTAAATTCGGACATTTTTTTAGCATAACAGAAAATTTTGCTACGAAGCGTTCATTTCAAAAGTATATTTGTATTTGGCGTCCACTTCATCCCCAAGTTATTATGAAGCCATAATTTGCATTCAATCTTATGCATTTTGTTGATTTGAGATCCACAATTTATGTCAAAATATAGAGCCAATCAAATAGGAATATTTAAGATGCTACTAATTCATTCTAGTGATATACAAAGCTTCCATCTATATTAATTACATAATGAGATGGCAAAACAGAAGAGTCGGTAGGTTGTCCAGCAATAACAAAGAATCCAATGAAAATGAATGCTAAACTTGAAACCAAAAGATTTCAGTTGAGGATATGCTAAACCCTAACCATAGATAATATGTCATTATTCGGATGTCAGAAAGACGGCAGGCACAGCAGCCGGATCTAGCTCCCAATAGCCATCACTGCCCATTTCCTTTTTAAGCTGGAATGCAGGGATTTGATGGGAGAACCTCAAGCACTCATGATTGGGAATGAACTTAAGTGCATCAAGGCCCTCACTTTCACGACTGAAAACACTAACATAGCCATCAACCTTAGTTAACACCAAAGTTTTGATTCCAGAAGCATCACAGCCTGATATTTCCACAACCTCGAATTCACTGTTTTTGAGGTCGGAAACAGACCAATCGGCATTCCAGTTCCTGAAAACTGCCCAAATTTCACCAACATCAGGAAAGATGTAAAAATGGTCCTTTTTCGCCATTGGTTTTGCCTTCACCTGATGAGAGAAGGTTTCTGAATCCATTGTGTATGTCTCCTGTGCTGCTCTAAAGGCCCCGCAAGCAGCAGGCGGCTTGTCTTCAGAACAGTGATCATCTACATCTAATGCAGGATAACTGTATAGCCAAGTCACATGCACTTGATTTTTTTCCCGGTCAACCATCCTTATCCTGCCATAATACCTAGGAAAGTAATCTATTTCACAATAAAAAGCCCACACCTGACCACATTCAAACTTCTCCATTAATCTATCACTTTCAAATTCATAAAATTCTGATTTAGGATGTTCAAAAGTAAGAAAGCTTGAGGGAACACTGTGATGCTCAATATCAGGATTCTGAGAACTAATGTTATCTGCTTCAGTAATCACCGCATTTTTTAAAGTCTTACTTTCACTTTCTAATGCCTTCCGCGATACTGAGGATTTATCAGATGCACCATTCATTTTTTCCGATGCAGAGCCTCTTGTTCCTGACCTCTGCTTCTCCATGGCAGCTTGCTCATTTGATTCAAGCCCATTCTCCATTGATGGTTTTAGAATTTTGTTTTCACAGGAGACATTGTTGCATACCACACTGACATTCAGTGTTTTAGTTTTACTTTCAAGACTAATAGAAGGGAAGGTCATTTCGAAGTTGGTAGGTAAAGAAGCACAATCAAGTTCAAATGCACCCTCTGGTACGCCATCTTCTTCCTTTCCAATGATTCTACATGCCGGAATCCTGTGTGAAAACATAAGTAGATCTTTTGCTGGTATTTGAAGTAAACTTTCTTCAGCATCGGATTCTCTTACAAACAAAGCCATGAACTCTTTAATCTTGGTTAGACGAATAACACTGATCCCAGTTACTTCTGAGAAATCTGAAACAGCTTCCACGATTTGGTATTTATAAGCTCTATGATTATCTGGCTCAGAGCTCCATCTAATATCCCAATTCCTAAACAAAGCCCAAATCTCCCCTCTTCTAGGATAAATCACATATGAGTTTCTCTTCATCCCTTTTCTCCATGAAACAAGATGAGAGAAGATGTGCCGCTCCTGGGTATGGTATGATTTACCATGTTTGAAGTTTCCACAAGCAACAGGCAAACCTTGCTCCGACCACTTCATCTCAGCAATACTTCTGGGGTCATTTTCCAGCCAGTTTAACTGAAGCTTAAACTCTCGGCTGTATACCTTTCTAACACGAGCATAGAATCTGGGCATCCCATCTATGTTATCATATAAAGCCCAGATTTGATCAACTGCAAACTTATTTTCACATCTTTCAATTTCAAAGTCGCAAAACTCTGGATAAGGATATGTAAGGTTTTTTGGATCAATAGAGGTCTTGCGTGTTGAGGCTGCATTTGCATTAAAATCTGAATGGATATGTCTATTTCCATTTTCTTCTCTCTCTCCATCAGCAACCACTCCAGAAAATGCATTATTGTTCTGCACCAAATTAGCCTGTTTTTTCCCTTGCCTTGACCTTTTGGAAGCAGAAGGCAAAGAGTCAATGTCAATATCTTGAACTTCATTACAAGCAACCTTTTGTTTATGTCTGTTTGATCTTCGTACAAGATTAGAAGCTTTCTCAGCACTCAGATCTGGAGCTCGGCTATCCTCATTTCCACTTCTTTTCTGACTTGATGGAGGTTTTGCCTCTTGATCTCTATTATGAATTGAATGAAGCTGCACATTTTGAAATTTCATGTCGTTGCATTTGTTCAAATAGTCATCCACCTTCCCATCTCTTGCATTGCTTTTAGAATCATCAAAAAATTCAGGACTATGTTCAGGTTTAAACCCTTGCTTGAACGCTGAATTACCAGACTTAGCTCTCTGAAATTCCCTGGCTGAAGCATCGACACAATCACTATTCTGGCAAGTAGACGGAGCAGTATTTCCAACTTTGAATGAATTTCCGGTGCTAGTTACACCTTGCGTTTTCAAATCATATGCAACATATCTATTAAAGCATTTTTGGCAGCGAACCTCCCTGTTCAATACATTTTGAAAATATTGAAATCTTACACTACAGGAAGGGCACATAGTCCAAAAAGCCCCAGCACCTAAGAATGGAGAAGGTTGGTTGTGGTTCAAACCGCTAGAATGAGCCAAGTTTGATTTAGCTCCCATCCCTTCAACTCCAGGTCCTGGCCGCTTCTTCACAGGTCTGTATAAATGCTGAGAAGCCAGATTAAGTGATACTCTGCTGAAATTAGCTCTCCTAGTCATGTTATGCTTGGATCGTTTTTCTGGATCAGACAAAATCTTGTAAGCCTCTCCCACAAGCTGGAATGCATCTCCAGCACCAGCAAGCTTGTTCTTGTCAGGATGCAGTAGTAGAGCAAGCTTCCGGTATTGCTTCTTAATAGTTGACTCATCTGCTGTTATGTCTACTTGAAGAACCGCATACCAGTCTATATCTCCACCGATCTTGGTCCCTGCAGCACAATGCACCTCACATACGGTTAGGATCTGTGAGATGCTCTCCAAGTCTGGAAAGAGACGTTGTGCCTTCAGAGCAATCTTAAGTCCCCCTTCAAAGTCCTGGCTCTGCATTTTGCTCTCAGCAATGCTCTTGGCTCGGATAGCCTCCTCTTTGTTGCACTCCATTTTGACTAACACTTCAATACGATCCTTTATTCACCTGAAATTGGATGTGTTAGTAAAAAAGCTAGCTTTTCTTTGTTTAATCATTATTCTGGAGTCTACACCGAAGGATAAAGCACATGCCACATGAGACATAACAAAATGATGTAGCAGTCAGGGATCCAGCAAAAGATTTCAGCATATAACAGATGAGGATTAAAAAGTATAGCAGAAAAAAACAATCCTGCATCAAATTGCAGAGAACCACCAAATATAAACTTCAGTAAATCTAAGAAAACATCTAATTAAAGGTGCAGAGGGCTAAAGAGCCTGATTAACACAACAAAGACAATGATACTTGTTGACTCAAAATTTGTCTAGTGGATGATATCCGACTTTTCTAACAGATCTGTCTAGTGAGCTAAGAACTTGTTGGCAAGAATGAAGAGTATACAGAGTGGAAAAGAGAAAAGAGAAAAGAGTAAGCAAGTAGAATCTAAAGTATCTCAATCAAAAATTACAAAAGTGAGACACAAGGCCCAAAAGATGCAGAGAAAAAGTGATGAGAACATCTGGAGAAAAATCTGGCACGTCTACCAAAGGAGCCGTAGATCGACGACCACGATTAGGAGTCTTTATTTATAATCTATTTTCTGCATTTTATTTATTATTGTATTTTATTTTGAATCTTTCCCAATTTACCCTTATGTTGAATTATATGAGTGATGTAGCACAAGGGGCATTTTAGTTTTTTTACTCCTTCATGTTTTGAGGCCTATATATTGAGGCCCTTGGCTATTATTGGAAGAAGATGATTATTATGAATTAAATTTCAGTTTTTCTGAATTGTGTGTGTTCGAGTCTTCTTGAGAGAAGAGTAAAGTCCCTAGGAGTAGGGTAACGCCACACCCAACAACTGACGCCCTGGCAAGGTTCTTGGCTCTATCTTCTCTCCCTCACCCCATCATCCTCCATTGGCTTTCGAGCACTCCACCCCCGTTAAATCAGCCAACCGAGCCTTCCTCCCTTTTCCAAACAACTGGACGAAATTCCCTACTCCCCTATACAGTCGAGCCACCTCCACTCTCTTCCATTCCCACTCACCTACAAGCCCAACCTTCCTCTCCTCCCATGGCCAGCCAACCCCCAATCCATCGCCTCTTGGTATTCCATTGACCTTCCTTCTTCCCCATTGATTTCCCCAAGGGCTGCTGCCTTTTCCTATTCCCCTCCCCATTAGATTTACTTTAATTACTTCCTTTTCCCCTTCCCTATATATTCCTAATGGCTGTTGCCTTTTTCTATTTCCCCCATTAAATCCATAATGGGTGCTGCCTCTTCCCCTTCCCCCCATTAACTCCCTACTAGTTGCTGACGTTTCCTCTTCCCCCACTTCCCTCCCCTATTAATTCACTATTGTTGCCGCCCCTTATCCCCTCCCCCTTCCTTTTTCCTTAACCGACAACCCCTCTCCCAAACAGCGAACTCATCAAGCCAAGTCCAAACTTCCTTTCCCAAACCGAGGACAACCCAGTCATCCATGGATGGTCGATCCTGAGCTTGATCACAGCTTTGTATTCGATGATCAAGGCTTAGTCAACATTCACCAGTCTCCCTTCTTCGACGTCGACTTCGAGAATGACCACACCGTCAAGGAATACGTGGATCAGATTAGCTTCTCAATTGCAACCGCCATTGATCATCGAATACCTCCCATCCAGTGGCAACTCACTTACAATCCACCCACTAATTTTTTTCCAGGTAACTTTCTATTGTTCAAAACATTAAAAACTTCTTCTTAGTGGCATTGTGTTGACTGTGACTACCGCTCCCCACCGACTGAAGCCCCAAACGACACAACCACCTCTGTCGGTCCCACCTCACGATCGAAAACGAAGCAACTGTTCGTTCAAAATCTCAAACCGCCTCGCTCACGACATAAATCCCTCTCATTCGGTTCATTCACGCACGCACACTCAAGAAAGACACACAGAGAAGAGGAAAAAGGATTTCAGAAAACTTACCTCTTCTCCCGACACCGCCCAAGCCCGACTTCGCCGTCGACCTCCTGCTCCGACGTCGATCCCATCCTCCTGCTCCGACGCCGCCGGCCAAACTTCCGTCGTGATCTCGCCGCCGACGAAACCCCCGAGCATCCTCCTGTGCGTGAGCCATCGCCGTGCCCTAGCCGACTCTGGCCGACGCCTCAGCCGCCTCCGACGTCGCCGGCAGACTCGACATCCGCAGCCTCCGCCGACCGCCGTCTCTCCGCCGACCGCCGAACCGACCGTCATCTCCGCTCCCAAACCTCCCGTGCGTGACCTAGGCCGATCGGGGGTTTCTTCTTCACGATCCCTCTCTGTTCCTGTAATAAGATATATATATTATATCATATGTATAATATGTATATTATATAATGATATATAATATATGTTATATTATAATATATCTCATACGATATATGTTTATATATAATATATTTTATATATTATATACTATATATTATAATGTATTGTATAATAAAAAGAAAGAAGAAGAAAAGAGAGAAATAGAGAGATGTGCGGATTTTCAAACAGGTGTCGAAGACCTCGGCCGTCGTACCTTAGGTCCGACCGGAATGGTTTGAAATTGAAGACATGCGCCGTTGATTTTTAATCCGGGCAGATGGTTTTAAAATTTGAAGACCCCGGCCGTCGTACCTTAGGTCCGACCGGGATGGTTCCAAATTGAAGACCTCACGCAGTCGATCTTAGATCATGGTGAAATGGTTTGAAAACGAAGACCCTACGCCATCGACCTTAGGTCCGCGTAGGAAGAACTACGGCAGTGCCGTCCCGATTTCTCCCTCGGTGGGGGAGGAGACGCCGGGAGGCTGCCGAAATTTTCAATGAACAACAAAGGACTTGGACTAAAATTGAAAAAAACTAATTTGAACGAAATTCAATATAAAATCAATTTTAAATTAATTTTGAACCAAAAAAAAATGTTGGATTTAAATATGAAATGGATTCAAATCAAATTCGATTTGAAATTAACTTGAATATGAGATATATTCAAATTGGACTTTTTTTTGTTATGGTCTTGCACTCAAAGAAATGATAAGATTATTTAAGTCATTATTAAGTCATAAATGATATTAATTACACAAACAACTTTAGAAAGCTTGTAAACATTTTAACCTCATATCGATGAGTGATAATGGGCATTGACTTTAACTCCAACTACAAATTGATAAGGAAAAATGCAATAAACAATATCTCATATTCAACAAACATTCTTACAAGTGGATGGTCCTCCTCTCAGTTATATATGACTGTCCATTCCAAGCCTTCAAATTAAAAGTATAGAGTATGTCATTTGAGGAGAAAGAGTTCAATTCATCAAGATATAAGATGGTCAAAGCTTCAAACTATTTCTTTTAACCCAATGGAATAAAAAATGTCATAATGCCTACAATAACTAACCTACAAACAAAGACAAGGAGCTTGTATCGAATAAATTAGACCATATATGAGAGAAAATATGAGAGCTTCTAACGAGCAAGATAATTCTCCTATAAATACGAACATGATCTCTTAATGCTATTGAGAAAATACTTTCTCAATATGTGCTAAATGAAACTTAGAAGAGTTAAAAGAAACTAAATGTAATAACTGAAATCTAGAAAGCTTTAACGCCACCGGATCCGCAACATGTGTACAAGCGGACAGAAGGCGTTCGTAGGCTTTTTTATGAAATCTCGGGCTATTTTCTAAACGAAATTACTTGCACAATAGATCATATTTAAATATTTTAAAATACCCCTTATATATTAAATATTATCTATTAAACTAAATTTATCCCTACATGTGCTCCGATAAATCTATTAAAAGTACAAACACAAATAATCGAGAATGCTGCGCAGGGTCAAATGATATTACTCGCATGTGCTCCGATCGTCGCATATAAATCCCAAATCCAACGATTCGAGAATGCTGCGTGGGTCAAATATTCAAGTTTCATCCTCCTCCTTGAAAGGACTGGAGTCGACACAACTTGAATTGTGAAATGCCTCTCAATGTCCTACAAAAACATAAGTAACATTGAAATAACCCCGATGATGGCCGTGTTGACAGAAAATCTCAACCGGAGGGGTCAAATCTCAAATCCAATAAAAATTTAAATTCTTAAAATAAAATCAATCACCTAAAAACTCAAAACTAAAAATCATTCCATCTCCCGCAATTATTTGTCGGGGGTGATAAATTTGAAATTAACCTTAGCTTACAAAGAGCAAATGTTATGTCGGGTGTATCACTACGATTCATCCTCAAACAATCTCTTGCCAATAGGGACGTGGCACGTGCCCTCTGATCGGGTGGTTTTGCCGCAAAATGGCACCATTATATTACGATCACGGCCAAAGCCCATATGTTCCCCAAAGGTGTCAAACCCTTGAGCGATGGATCATAGGATATATTCAATAGACATAAAGCCCTCTGTCAGCTAAGGTGGATTCATATATATCCCCTTAGACAAACATCAACCCAGGTCTACAAGGCATTCTTAGACGAAGCAACCCATGGCTGTCGATAAGGTGCCTTATGTCAGGTTGGGTCGACTACCTCCTCTGACTAAGTAGACCAGGGATCATGACAGCCCGGGACGACAGAACCATGGGATCTTGATCGGGCTCGTCTTCATTCCCCCCACCACCAGTTTTAAGTTTATGGTGATAAACTCTAAATTCCAAATTTCAAACTTCCAAATACAAAATTTGAACCCTAAAATTGTTGCTATTATACGATAGGTTTATAACCTATTTGACCTCTTTTACGACTAGCCTTAATCGAAAGTTCTCTCCTATTATTGGGAGGGGTAATTAACTATAGGGGCTTGCGCCTATAGGAAACCATAACTCAGATAAAAAAGTCCTCACCAAATGAGGGCGAAATCTCTGGGTAGTGTCTTATCTAAAACCCAATCTGCCTTCTGAAAATTCCCCCGGAACCTAATCTCGTTAAAACTCTATCGTCGTCGTCACACAAACACTTAACAGAAAAATAAATCGATGATGCA